AGAAAAGCGCCCCCCCCCCCCCCCCCCCTCCCACTAGCTAATGCATAAGAAGTGCTGACCTTGCCATGAAGTTTTAAAACAAACATGCTATTTTCAGTAAAGGTAGGTAACTGTATTACTAACATTGATAGGATACAGACATGTATGTATTCTCTAAGCCATTGCTCTAAGCTCTCTCAGTTTCTTTAGGTAATATGTAGAGGATGGTATTCAGGGGAGATATAACACAAGTGATGCTGTTGCCTACACTTGTTGTCGTGTTAAAAGTGCTTCAGTTGCATTCCTGAAAGTTTGCTTCAAGTTAAAATAGGCAGTGCTGTTTTTATTACACCCCTCTGAATACATCACAGTGGGCACATCTACACATCCGTTAATGCACCGTGATTATGGCGCATCAAATTTAGTACCTCTAATTACGTGTACTACCTTTAATACGCTATGATTGGAGCTACTGCAGATCAGCACAGACAAGTGTTTCTTATGTGATGCTGACGAGCAGTAGATTAATTAATTCTCTTGGGTATTAACGCAGTTTTTGTCAGCAGTGCTAATGCACAGTAGAGTTATTCTACTGCAACATGAGGGTTTCCTGTAGACACACCCAGTGCAGTTTAAGCATTAATTTACTAACTTTTAAATGTCACCCGGTGGAAAAACAAACAGATAACAATAATTGTTTTCAGCTGTTTGATTTGCAACCCTAGATACGAGATTAAGACCTATTTCTCTCTCTTTCTACAGGGTGAATCGGTGAAATACTTCCTGGATAACCTGGATCGGATTGGCCAGCTGGTGAGGCATAACTTTATATCCCACTGAGGTTAAAGTTAGGGTATGCAAATTTGCAGACGCTATAATTTAATATCCCAGTTGAAAAACTGTAATCAAAGAATTGCATTTTCTAATTTAGAAAATCTTGGCACCTTGAAGCATATTAAACCCTGACCTATGAAAGGGACTTGACTGATTTTTTAAATTTAAGCTTCACTTTTTGCATTGACAAATGGTAAAAAGGAATACAGCTTGTGCGTTGTTTACACACATCTCTCTCCCTTTCTCTCTCCTCCCACACAATGTCAGGAGCAGGAGCACACCCAGTTTTATACTGCTCTGCTGCCTGGAACATTCGTGGGAAACTTGCACCATGTAGTTGCTGCTGCCTAACCATGGCTTGTTGTATTAGTTGCTGATGTTTTAGAGTAGCAAAAAAAGAAAAGAATTAGGTTCTTGTAAGGCTCCAAGAGAGGAAGAGTGAAATGCCTTCTGGGTTATTACTTGCAATCTTCTGAAAAGTAGTACAGTGAAAAAGGAATTTGCAGACCCAGTACATAGTGGTGAGACTGGCCAGACTGTATCTGTAATAGAATTTCGCTTAATGCTTGTTAATAAGTATCTGCTTCGAGAGAATGCTTTGGCTTACAAAACTGTTTAACATCTTGAAAACAAATGTATTGGTAGATTCAGTTTTAAAACAGGCATTTAATGTGGTGGTGGATGTCTGCATTCCTAATTGGTAGTAATCTTGTGGGCAAGAATATCCTAAAGATGAAAAAGTTTTTGGTCAGGAAATTAGAGAGTTGAATTTATAGATGCAGAAAGAATGAAGTTTTGAAGGAATTTAGTGGGCCTACAGACGTGTTTCAACAGCATCTTCCAGGAGCAGCTTCTCAGTATATGTTCATTGGTCAACAAGTCCATTATTTTGGACTTAATTTTCAAGTTCTTCACCTAGGCACTGAACATTTAGCTCTTAAACTAGAGCCTCTTAGAACATCAGCATTATTGGTCATTATAACACAAAAATAACACGTCATTACACTTCAAGTGCTAGCTAATAGTTCATATTTTAAAATGGTAAACAGAGACATTTGCCGCTCTTCTTGTTTTTTTACAGAATTATTTACCAAGCAAGCAAGATATTTTGCTGGCTAGGAAAGCTACCAAGGGAATTGTAGAGCACGACTTCATCATTAAAAAAATACCTTTCAAGATGGTGGATGTGGGTGGACAAAGGTCTCAGCGGCAGAAGTGGTTCCAGTGTTTTGATGGTATAACTTCAATTCTGTTCATGGTCTCCTCCAGTGAATATGATCAGGTTCTCATGGAAGACAGGCGCACAAACAGACTGGTGGAATCCATGAACATCTTCGAGACAATAGTCAATAACAAGCTGTTCTTTAATGTTTCTATCATCCTGTTCCTCAATAAAATGGATCTTCTGATAGAGAAGGTAAAGACTGTCAGCATTAAGAAGCATTTCTCGGACTTCAGGGGTGATCCTCACCGGCTAGAAGATGTTCAACGTTACCTGGTGCAGTGTTTTGACAGAAAAAGGCGAAACCGCAGTAAGCCACTCTTCCATCACTTCACCACTGCCATAGACACTGAAAACATCCGCTTTGTGTTTCATGCTGTGAAGGACACAATCCTTCAAGAGAATCTGAAGGATATCATGTTGCAGTGAAAGAGTGCAGCCTTGTTTTATTGCAGTCTACCAGAGTTATAGCTCAAAGTTGGGTTTTTTTGTTCTGTTTTTGTTTTTATCTTCGTGGCCCTTGCGTGTGGTTTAAGACCCATGCTATTTACTTGGCTCAGGAATGCTGTAAATTAGCCAGTCCAAACAGGCGCTATAGGCAGAAGAAATCAAACAATCTTAGCTACTGAATCATTTGAACTAATGACACTACTGAAAAGTGGCCATTGTAGGTTTGATGCCCAGTTGGAATAGTGAATAACAGTTACCTTCTGCCTTTATAGAACAATCTAATTTCTTTGACAAACCATGTAAGGAAGACACTTTTTAATGGAAATTACTCTGTAAGGACAGTAGCCATACAGACTGCCTTTCTCTGTAGTTAGAAGGTGCTGAATTCATCGGTCTGACATAAATCAGAACAAGATTGGTAGTTGTATTGAAAAATAAGCAGCAAGTTGATCAAAATTTTACACCCAGTCCTTAAACACATAACCAGATCTGCATGCGTATGCAGTGTTTGCCAAGGATCTGGAGTCCCTTTGCCAAGGTGGATGCACACGTCTTGTCTGAAGATCTCGCATCTATATCCAAAAACACAAGTCTAGGACTGTGTAAAGGAAACCCAGCAGGCCAGTTTGGGGTCAAATGAAGAACTAAGGCCTGGTTGACGTGGACAAAGTTTTATTTTGCACTACGTGTACTGTGTTTTACATCCATTGGGAAACTGACTTCGGTAGTACAGCTTTGAGGCCTCTACTAGAATATTTGACCACACAACTTCACTTAGTGGGTGCTCTAGTTCAGTGTTGAATTTCTAGAAATTTCACTTTTCTCTCACCTGCAGTTAGCAGTATTTGTAAAGCTCCCATCTCAGATGGCAGGGCTTTATCTGTCTTCAGTGTGGCAGCTGATTTTAAGCTTTGCAAAAAAAAATGGTTTTGGTAGTACAGCAGCTGCTTGATCTGTTCCTAACTGCTTACCTTTATAGGAAAACCGAACACACTACAGAGATCCCAATTCTACAGCTGCACTGATTATATTTGCGCAGCAGGACTCTGCTGTAAAACTAGCCCTTAATCCGTCTCTTAGTGGGATTGTTAACCTATCTTAATGCACATATAGTTTATAAATAAGCAGTCAAGTCTAGAATTGCCCATTTTAGGCGATGGTGTGTGTGTGTGTGTGTGTGTGTGTGTGTGTGTGTGTGTGTGTGTGTGTGTGTGTGTGTGTGTGTGTGTGTGTGTGTGTGTGTGAGTGAAATTGCAAGAGGCTGTGAATAATGTTGATGTGAACTGTTAAATTCCTAGCTCTCTAAACTTTTGTAGTTACCTGTCAGGTGCCTTTCTTTGTGTACAAATACTTCAAACTTGTCTGCTACAATGAGGTACATGAACAAAATTCAGATCTGCCTTTATTTCAGTGCTGAAGTGTTGTCTTTCAGGGAACTTTCAAACTCATGTTTACTGTGCAATTGGTACCATTATATTCATTCTGTAATAACATTTTAAGGGCTGCCTCCACCTGTACTAAGTCAGCAATATCCCTTTGAGTTTTGTCCTCCTTGAGGCTGGAATGGTATGTCAGAATAAGCAACCATAACTGCTGCAGTTAAATCTCCTGGGAAATGTTTTTCTATAAAGAACTCCAGAACCAGGGTCCTGTTGTGCTTTTTAGCTTGGATAAAATCTGGAATCCTGTTTCCTTTGTGGTTTGCAGAAGTTCCTATCAGGATTTGTTTTGTGAATAGAGCTTCCTAATGCAGAAAAAATACTTGTCGTTTTCTTTCTGCAGGCCTCAGGAGTGGAAAAGGATGTGGTGGCGTTAGTGCTGTATAATGCAAATAAAGTGTTGGTAAAGTAAACTGGTAAGGAACTGCAGACAAAAATCTATTTCTGTTTAAAATTACACTTCTTCTACATGGCACATTTAAACAGCAATTAATTGCATTAGTAAGAAGTCTTATTTCCCAGGACCAATTTTTTTTTTTTTTTTTTTTTTTTTTTTTTTTTTTTTTTTTTTTAACTCTCTTCACTATAATTAGCAATTTGTTAACAGAGGAAGGGAGCAAGTCTCTGTCCCACCGGGAATGTTCTGCAGTGGTTTAGATGGGAGAACTGCTTCAGCAGTTACATTTTGGAAAGGTAAATGCTTTTAACATGAACTGATACAAATAGCAGCTAGGGGATCAAGTGAAATGCATTTTCGCTGAACTTGTCCATTCATTATTTGGTTAAACTAGATGTAAAGATTTTTTTTTTTTTTTTTTTTTTTTTGCTTCAGCATTCAAGTATAGACTTTGCCAGCAGGAGCCTCTGCTCTATAGAGGACTTCAGGAGGCAATAAAGTAACCTCACTTCCCAGTTGATTTTTTTTTTGTATGCGTCTGCTGCGCTATTTCACAAGTGTTCTGGATGGGAAAATGTACTTGCTTAAATTATTTGATAAAACATTCCCTTTAATATTTTCCTAGAGGTGTTTGTTTTACATATGAAATCTACTGTAATTTTTAATTAAGAGATTGAATTATTCATTTAATGAGCGCTTAAAGTTTTGTATTCTTGGTCTCCTTATCTCTTTAAAAGAACTAAAAAGCAAATAAATGCAGTGTATAGTTTGTAAGGTAACGTTTAACTTACTATAGTTGCACCCTGAAAAGTGTAATCCTGGGTTTCCCATGTATAATCTTGACAGTTTGATAACAAGCTGGTTTAATTGAGTAGTAAATAGCCATTCCTTCTGGCATGATGCGGCTGCTTTGCACTGTTATGTTAGCATGTAGAGATCCAAGAGAATCACTTCAGCCCCACTTTCCTCCTGATGCAGTGAGGGGCATAGCTCCAATGCATCTAGTTGTCATTGATGCCCAGGTACTGTTCAGCCCTTTGGGTTACTTTGACTGTAATCTGGCGGTATTTCTTCACACAGCTGGTCCAAGAACAGGGAACTGCTGAGGAACTTTTCTTACTCCACAAATCAAGATTGCAGTGCATCTCTCTCAGCTTTGGTAGAAGATCTGGTGTGGTTCTCATGGTCAGTGCCCTTGGGTTTCCTAAGATCTGAATGATCTCCATAGATCTGTAATTTAAGCCTTCTGTCTCAAGCAGTACTACACAATCATCAGGGATCTGGGTTTTCCATTTCCTGCACAGGAGAAAAAAGTGGATTTTTCCCCTTTTGCAAACAGCCTTCTGCGGGCTGACAGAGTTCCAGCCTGCAATTAGCTGCTTGCCTAAAGGGTGCAAAACCCTAAGCCCTGTCCAGAGGGCAGGGCCAGGGCTTACTCAGACTCATTTTGCCTCCCGCAGCCTTTGGGATAAATAGGACCTGGAGGAGTCGGGGTGGGGGGCAGCTGGGGCCCCCTCCGGCAGGCCTGGGGTGGGTCAGGGGGCTGCGGGTTGGGTGTGAGGGGCAACAGCAGGGTGCTGCAAAGCAGGTGGGGGG